TGGAGTGATTTTGAATTATTTTACACTGTAAAAGTACATTTTGTTTTTATTATGTTATTTTTTCAGGGTATTATAATTTATTTTATTTATTAAACTGTATAATGTTCTTCAGTGTAAAATGTATGTGATCCATTGGTTTAAAATAAATGGGTCAGTTTTTCTCATACCTACTCTTTTTCACTGTTTGATCTGATCAAGATTTTTCTAAGATTTTACACTACAAAATAGGTCAAAGTGTGTGACTTGCACTGTTACAGTAACGGGTCAATATCGGTATCGGTCAATATCGGTATCGGACATTTCTCAAAGTTGTAATATCGGTATCGTATCGGAAGTGAAAAAGTGGTATCGGGACATCCCTAATTTGGGGTCACCAGTTTTTGCCATGGATATTTTGTGGGTCAGAAGATAAAAAGTTTGGGAACCACTGGTCTATACTGTCCTAAAATAAAATTATTGCATATTCATAGCTTATTTTGGGTTTTATTCCTACTGAAAAGCATCAATAAGAGAACCGTTAAAATACTGGATTGATAAGCAACACTGATCTGAGTATTAGTATTGATAAAAACTTAACGATACCCATCTCTAATTCTGACAGTGTAGTAAACATAAGTAAGATGATATATGTGCATTTCATGTGCTAACACTCTCTCGCAGCTTGTTGCAAATGCTTTCTTAAAAACATACTTTGAAAAAAAGAAATGGGTGTAGTTCCTCCAGCAGACAAGCCACCACTGATTGGGTCGTCTGTTACCAGACAAAATGTTCAGAAAAATCTTCTCTATCTTTTCACAAGCAGTTACTGTGCACACCTGATAGCTCACTATTCAGTGCTCCATGTGACCAGAGGGCACAAAAACAACTTGACACAAAAGTAAAATAAATAAAAATAACCTCAGCTCATGCATCTGTACATGTACCTGAAGCTGTGGATGCCCTGAAGCTCCTGCTGAAGCACCTCCTTGGTAGTGGCGATGAGCTCCAGTGCTCCAACAAACTCTGAGGTGGAGAGCAGCAGCTGCACAGTGGGCTGTGTCTGATGGACCACTGCCATTAGCTTTAGCTTGTTGTGCAGTTTCACACAGTTGTTCTGAGTCAGAGAAGAGTGGAGGAGCCACAGAGGCCCCTGGCACATGACTCGGTCCATGGCTGCTGTTCGGCTCCGCAGAAAAGCCACGGCCTGCTGGGTCTCCTGCAGCCGGTCCTGTAGCTCATGCTGTGAGGACATGGCGTGGAAAAAAGCCTCGGAACGCAGCGAGATCTGCTGAGCAATGCTGACCTCAACAACATCCAGGTAGTGACTGAGCTGGAGGAGGACAAAACATTTCTTAATCACAACAGTAATGCTCATTTTTAATGCTTTTTTCTTCACAGCAGAACTTCCACTACTTTTTATAAAATATTAAAAATCAGTTCACTGTATTTCCTTTAGATTTAAGCAAGAAGCTTTTCTATATTACCAAATCGTTAGGCTACATCATCACACATGAAAGAAAAAGCAATATTTTACAATTGAAATAGTTGTCAACAGAACCATCCTCATTCAGTAGACAAAGGTCTGCTGAAGATTAGCTGTACAACAGAAACTCAGCTTGGGCTTTCACTTTGTAACCTTCACACCAAACCCAGTGGATCTAGTAGCAATAAATAAGCATCTAATGGGGACCTTCAGTCTAACTATTTTAGAACACTAGTCACGTGACTGTCCGCTCAACAATAATGTGCATTCAAACTTTCGTAGCAGTTCCATTGATTTCACTGGTGCTACACCGGTCTAACTGTGTTTCAACTTTAAAAAAATTGGGGAAAACAGCGTTGAAGTCCACCGGGAGGACCATGAAACATGGTGCTATGGTTCTTTTAACAGTGACCCAGGATACAGCCATTGTCCCCACATGGAAGGAGCATTTTTGATCATTTTTCCCAAGCTAAGATGGGGGCTAACTGCCGGATTCAAGCGATGAGACGAGCTGAATTTGACCAGAAAAAAGTACAAGGACTTACAATTTTTCTGAGGTAAAACACAACACTGGACCACCCGAATCCTATCCCTGCACTTTGTCGATAAATAGGTACAGTAAACTTTTTAGTTTTTAATGTTCCCTACTGCTAGCTTTATGCTAGCCTCATATAGCGATCTACTGCAGTCAGTCACACATACAGTGATAATATTGTACTTACAAAAATTCTAAACATCACCATTAAGTTTTTTTTTAACTATGCAGACGCGATGGCTCGAGTGATAAAAACACACACAGACACACACACGATAGATGCAGCAAGTTAAGCTTGAAAACACCGGTAAAAACACCACCCTTTTTAACACTTCTGCTTGCTTTCCAACTCTAAAACCTCGACCCTCCAGCCAACCGTTCGAATGTAATTACTGAAGTCGGAAGTAAGGCTGTGTATTGGCAAGAATTTGGCGATAAGATACATATCATAACAGAGGGGTCACGATACGATATATCCCGATATATTGCGATACTGTAAGCAAGGCAATATATTGCGATATATTGCGATTTTTTTGTCCAAAAATTCTTTTAATTAAAAACCTCTTACTGAAAAAAAAAGAAAAGCTAATGTTTACTTACAATGCTAATGCTACCCTTACTCTCTGGTGCCCAAGAGGTAGAGGAGCCAAATGTCTGGCTCACTGCTGCCAACTAGTGGTCAGAGGCTGAACTACAACATAAAAATGAACAGCTGGCAGGAAAGTTGACATTTTAAACCTTAATAAAAAATCAATACAGGGCTTTAGAATATCGATACAGTATCGGAAAATGAAATATCGCGATATTTCAGTGTATCGATATTTTCTTACACCCCTAATCGTAAGTGTCAAAATTTGCTCTAGAAAGTCTTTTTTTCCTTATGGTATTAAAATAGACTCTCCGTATGATCTAGATCACTGGTTCCCAAACTTTTTATCTTCTGACCCACAAAATATCCATGGAAAAACTTGTGACCCCAAATATTACTGCTCTCTGAGTACAAAAACTTTGTTAATAACCCTAAAAACACAGGCTTTTTGACAATCTAAACAGCTTGTACACAAATATAAATACTTATTTTGTGTTTTTGCAATAGCTATAGGGAAAATATTACATCAGCAATAATTTATGACTCTTTAAATTGATTTCTGGAGATTATCCAAGGTGCTTCATGACCCATAATTGGGTTCCAAGCCCAACTTTGGGAACCCAAGTGCGCTGGTTCCAAAACTKTTCAGCTTTTGACCCACAAAATAACAGTAGCAGAGACCTGTGCCCCCAGCTATTTTTGGATGATAAACATTTGTATCAGGTCAACAAAACACTACGTTTATCYGTTTTAAATACACTAACCTCACTCTTTTGTAACCACTAAGGCAAAAATATAATTAATTCCGAAAACCTTTTCAGGACCCCACCTTGATGTTTCGGGACCCCACTTTGGGTCCCGACCCCAACTTTGGGAAACACTGATCTAGACCATCTGATCTTTTCTTTGCTAGAGCAGCAGATAATGTATGCAAATGACATGTGTGACGTGACGAGTGAAGGTCCCCACTCTGATGCTCTCTGTGTATCTGTGTATTTATTTGATAACTGACCTTTTCCTGCAGCAGTTTGGAGGAGGCCCCATCTCTGCTGCTCTTCCCTCCTGCACTGTGAAAGTGAGACCAGGGCAGGACAGTGTTGAAGGTGGCTGGGTTCTCCAAAGCAAAGTCAGGCTTCATAAAAATCTGGAAAAGTGATCAATCAAAACATCAACCAGTTCATCCCCACTCTCCTATGAATGTGAGAAAACTGAGGGGACAGCATTATGTTGAAATTGAACAATAAATGTTAGATTGTATTTACCAATCTTAAAGAACTGTAGAAAAGTTTTGCTATCTTGGGTAATAAATCCTGATTTCACTTGTCACCCACTTTTAAACACTTTTTTTAAAATTCCATCTTTTTTTGTCAATATGGATCTAATCTCTATACAGTGACTTCTATATTAAAATTTTGGCACTTCCTGCTATAAAGAAAAGTGGTGTTTATTACTATCCTTGTATTCTACATCATCAAATAAACTTAGAAACCCATACTTCCTTTTTAAACTTGGGGAGAGAAGACGATCCATATGCAATGCACAGATTTATAGCACAAAGATCACAATATGTAGTTTCTTAGAAGATATACTTAGGGCCATTGACACAATTCTAGTCTTTTTAGCTGTAAACACCACCATGATAGACTTCAAACGAAGATTTGCTTACAACCTCCAACATGTGCTCCAAAAGCAGCCACTCCTCAGCCGACCGCCAACGCTAGCCTGCCGAAACCTAACCTAACTGAGCTAAGATCTCCCCTCAACACTCCTGTATAATTAGACACACAGAGGACTGAGCTCATTTGAAGGTCTTTATATCCAAATCTGTGAGTGGTGTACAAATTACAATGGCTTCGATATGTGCCTCCCACTTTTAACCGTGGTGGTGTGGTGACCTCTCATGAGCGGGGTGGGGGTGGGGAGTAAATGGAAATTAAAATGTAATTTAATAAGTATATTGTTCTGTATACAAAGTTTACAATATACAAATGTTCTCAGTCAGCAGGTTGACGGTTACATCCAACATCCATAAGATTTCTGCTTACAGGTCAAACATTTTTATTTAAATAGGAGTAAACTGTGTACATGACCTTATTAAAGTTAAAGTTTATGGTAAATGGTAAATGGACTGTACTTATATAACGCCTTTCTATCCATCCAGGACACTTAAAGTGCTTCACACTACAGACATTCACACATTCACACACACATTCACACACTGACGATGGCAAACTACAAAGCTGCCCTGGGGCACACTGACAGAGGCGAGGCTGCCATACACAGGCGCCACCAGTTTAGTGATCTTAGGACTGAAGACTTCATGACGAAAGAGATTTTTAAATATCTTTTCTATCATTTTAGTGTTTTCAACTGAGGGGCTTTGATATTTTTATTTGAAAAAATTATGGCAGAGGAAGTTCTCTGCACAAAAAAAATCAATTTGTTTTTACTGTTTTTTTAACCAAACTGACAAGTTTCTCCACAATAATTGTTGTGTAATGTAAATGCATTGAAACACCCAGTAAAATTTAGAAGATATGATTAACTACAAGCACCTGAAGCTGACTCGGAGAACTCTGTGATTTTAGAAAAAAAAATGAAAGTCAAACGTAGACACGGCCCCCCACCCCGCGTGGCTGCAGTCCACCTGCACCCCCACCCCACCCGTGTGTGATTAATACAGATTTTTTGCGCAAATTACAGATTTTTGATGCTCATTATACAAGTAACCGTCTGAAGGGGTTGACATGTGGACGCTGAAGTCCCAGGCAGGTCTGAGCCATGATGTGTGTGGACAGGTGCAGCCCTCGCTTTAAAACCAGTCAGGTGATCTGTCACGGTTTTGTTGTGCTCGTGAACACACGGTGTTACAGGAGAAATGCTGCGAGCTGCTTTTAGAAATATTATATAAAATACGACCTAATCCTTGGTGGAAAACAGTCCAGGAAACGCTGAAGGCTTTCCTAGGAGGTGTTCACCTGAGCTGAGTGAAGCTTACCCCCCACCCACAGAGAAAGAAAAATACGGCAGCGTGCAGACCCGCCCTGCTCTGTTCTCATTGGGTAAAACTTTGACTGTGGTTCTCTTTATTGGGTGAAAGAACCGTCAGTTTAAGCCGTAGACGGCTTTAACAAGTTTTTTCTCTCATTCATTTTTACAATGAAGAACACCCGTGGAGGAAAACTTAAAACCAGGTCTTTTTTTCTTGGTTGTCCACCGGACAACTAGGAGGCGGGATCTGGTTGTCCGAAACGAAAATAGGTTGTCTCAGTCAAACTAAACAATGATTGTGTCAACCACTGTTTTACGTTGATAAAATAAATAAATAAATAAATAAACAAATAAATAAATAAGTAAATTAATTAATTAATTAAAAACTTCATTCCTGAGGTGTGGCGGCTTTTATTTAGCCATGGCGATGCGCCACTATCAATTACATGTAGGGGAAACTCTGTATTCCATGGCTAGGTGTGTGTTATTTCCTCATTGTCCCATTTACAAGGAGCAGATAAAAGGTCTCGGTCTAGTCGTTTCAAGGTCTAGTCGTTTCAAGTGTGGAGTGTACATTTGGATTATGTTGCTGTCAACTCTCGATTTGCGATCCAATGAGCTGTCACTAGCCTTGAACCAAGCCATCAATGGGCAGGAAAATCAAAACAAATCCATCAGACATTACAGTACATGTGGCCATGTCAACTGTTTAGAATATATTTTTAAAATAAAGAACACAACTGTGAGCTAAGTTGTATGTGTGTCAAAAGCAACAATCAAGCTTCACCAGTGTGAAAACAGATGGTTCACCGCAAGAACCATTGGTGAGCCTCAAAAACAGTAAAATCCCTGACTTCCGGTTGGCTTATGGAGTAATAGGATGCATATGGAAGCCACTCTTCCAAAATGCACAATTACCCCACTAAATAACTCGATAGTATGACTTTTATCACATTTAAATTTAAATGTTTAAATGCAGGACTCAGAAAGATATTAGAAAATGGTCAATGTTAATAATTGATTTTAGTTCTAGAATTGAGGTAGTGAGAATGAACTTCTTGCTAAGGTTGTTATATCTTTTTTATCGCTACCAATCAAGATTCCAGATTATCAGTTCGCAGACTGGGATGATATCCTGGTTTATATGGGCATGAGCTTAATCAAGAGTAACATTTAAAACACTTCAACTTGGCAGGGATTACAGTGGCCTAACACTGTCTAACCTCAGAGACCAAAAGAGGCGTGGAGCAGAACTCAACTGGACTGAAGAGGACCACGACAATAAGAGACCCCTACTTGATCAAATGTGGCATCACCACTAACTAGGATCATTGAGCCTCATGCAAGAACATGTTCGTATTTTTCTCCTAAATTTCTCTTCCTTTTGTTCGTACAAAGGGTTCGTACGAACATGTCACGTCAGATTCAACAA